GTTAAGAAGACAGACACTAAGAGCTGGTCATTAAGAAGATAAACAACATTGACCTCCAGACAACGAAGGAAACGGTGGAACGAACCAAACGCGGTCAAATTTGTGAATAGGCGAGGTGGAGAGGGTTGGGTTTTGCCTGTGATCATCACGAGTCAATCTCAATCTGCTGGGGAATGCGGGACACAGTCGGCTTCGGCCGCTCCTCGTGTCAGTGCTCCTACTGATAAGAACAGTGCAGTGCCCTCCCATCATCCGTCCATCCCTGCGCGCTTACCCCTGGCCACATCTGCTGCTTCCACGTTGTGTGCGCGAATTAAACACACGCGGGCAGGCGATGTCATCCATCCATCGCTCCCTCTCTCTCTCCGCTTGCCTGCATTCTCTCAAGTCTCTGCGCCGCCGATGTGTGTCCCCGGTTTAATGTATGTCCTCGCATTCCTGCCTGCCCCGAGACACTGAGTGATGCAGAAGCATGCATTCATAATGTGCGCGGGGTCAACCACCTTCGGCCGTCAACCGATAAAAGAGAAATAAAATTAAATAAACGTGACAAAAACCCATGTGAACGACCCACCAACTCCACGATGGTCAACTCAACAACAAAAAAGAAAATACAGTAAGGGAAAGCGTTGGCAGCAGTGCATGTTCAGTGGCTTAGCTATCGAGTGTGCAGGTTTTGCAACTGCACCAGGTCTAATTAAATTTATTGCACCAGGGCCCATGCCAAAACAAGCTACAAAACTGGTACACATGTACAAGAAAAAATGGAATCACATTCATCACGAGTTAAGCATCATAATATAATAAGTATTCGGATGATGTTATAAAGCAATGACCCTTCTTTTAATTTGGAGGGTGTAACTTTACATTGTGGGCTGCTTAGGAAATTGTAAAATGTGAAGGGCTTCAGAAGAGTAGCCGTGTGAGTTGGCGTGTGAACAGATTTCTGATCACAGAGTAGCAAAGAAATGTGTATTTAAAAAAACATTTTAAGGTATGCAACTTTAAAAAAAGATGTTGATTATATATGCATTTTTTAAGTGTCTGTACAACAGTATATGTCAATTTTGAGTCATGACCTAGGAGCTGACAGCTCTCGAACCAAAGCAGCTGCTTAATTAAACTCATAAATCAGGGGGCGAGATAGCGAGCAGTGTGATTTGAGCACTCACACAGTCACGCATTCAACACACACGCACACACACATTAATTCACTCATTCATTCAACACAAACGCATTGATTCAAACAAAGACAAACACCCATTCATTTGAACACACAAACAGTTGGGGAAAGTGCTGTTAGCCCATATACGACAGCATGGCGTGGCCAGAACCACGCCCGGTAGCTTTTGTCTGACGTTTGCCAGACGGCCACGGCACCATATGATCAGTTAAGGCTGAGTCGACCCAGGGGGGGCTCGGGACTGATCCAAATAATCGAACTCGGGTAGCCGAGTTGGTAGTGCAGTACGCTGACCGTAGCACTACCGCACAAAGACAAAGACCCCCCCTCCCCCATATAGCCTGAACAGACTGTTGGGGCAAGTGCTGTTCGCGAGCACCTATGAAGGCCGGCACGGCACACGCGGGGGTGGGTAGCCAGCACCACGCCCGGCCGCCTTTGTCTCCCCAAATCCTGATGTTTAAACACCACAACAAAGAATTGGTCACAGGTGTTGCTCATGAGCGGGGTTCGTAGCGCGAACCTCGGCCACCTATTGCCCCCATAGGCAGCTTACACGGGGCACAGTGGGGGAGGAGGAGGAGGCTGTGTGTGTGTGGGGGTGGATGGGGGAGGGAGGCTCGCAGAACGACACAGCCACGCAACTTTCTTTTGATGACAAAAGTGCTGAAGCCACGCTTTTTTTTTACCCGCCCCCCCTCTCTCTCTCCCGCTCGCTCTCTCTACCCAAGTCGAAGAGAGAAACATTCCTCGACTTCCCACCCACTGCAGACCCCAGCTCATCGAATCCTGGCCACTGGGAGAAGCCAGTGGGCACAGCAAATGTGCGTTGGGTGATTTTTGTTTGTTTGTTTGTTTGAAAATCAATACATAAGATCCTGCGGAACACGACGATGCGTTCTCGATGCGTTTTGGGACTTTTAGCTGCCAGACCCGTATCGTCGACGCGATCATAATCGATGATTTTTTTTCACATTTTGGCTCTTGCAGCTTTCATTGTCATCATCCACGCCACACCGGCCGCCCCAGATCTCATCGCACTTCGAGAGTCAAGGGCGTTTCGCGTGAACAGAAAGGGAGAGAGAGAGAAAATGCTACTGCAGCAACCGTAACATCGGCATAAAAACGTGGGGGGGGGGGGGAGATCCACACTCCCTCCCCTCGGCACACAATATAATACGATTACGATTAGACTGATAAGAGACATGGAGCGTGGAGTGGGGGGGGTGAAAATCTGTGAAACGAAAATAGAGCTTTACAACTCATCGGATTCCTCCAGTACGAACGCAGATTCTGATTGTGGTTTCTTGGCACGCACACTGCGTCATGAACCAGTCCGGCGACGGCTGCCGTCAGTGGCGAGTGGAACCAGGACCCGGTCATGGAACCAGGACCCGGTCATGGAACCAGGACCCGGTCATGGAACCAGGACCCGGTCATGGAACCAGGACCCGGTCATGGAACCAGGACCCGGTCATGGAACCAGGACCCGGTCATGGAACCAGGACCCGGTCATGGAACCAGGACCCGGTCATGGAACCAGGACCCGGTCATGGAACCAGGACCCGGTCATGGAACCAGGACCCGGTCATGGAACCAGGACCCGGTCATGGAACCAGGACCCGGTCATGGAACCAGGACCCGGTCATGGAACCAGGACCCGGTCATGGAACCAGGACCCGGTCATGGAACCAGGACCCGGTCATGGAACCAGGACCCGGTCATGGAACCAGGACCCGGTCATGGAACCAGGACCCGGTCATGGAACCAGGACCCGGTCATGGAACCAGGACCCGGTCATGGAACCAGGACCCGGTCATGGAACCTCCCAAACCCCCACACACACACGTCTAACCAACCCGATACTGCCTAGCGCCGTGAAGTATGGATAACACACAAAAAAAGGGCTGGACAGTAAATGAATGCGCTATCGTCACGATGAACAAAGCCGGAATAATAGCGATTTATCCACTGTACACACACGGGCGCACTTGTGCATTCCTGACACTAATTCAGAGAATGGCGACGATTCCCTCTCGTCTCGTTGCCAACAGGAGGTCTCTCTCGCTCCCTCGCTCGCTCTCATCCTTCGAGGTCAACGCTTTTCTCTTTGCCAACGGAACAAGTGAGTGCGCGTTCATTGTGCAGGGCGGTGCCTGGAAACGACCAGGCCAAAAAAAACACGACGACGACGACCACATCGTCCACACCGTGGAGTTGTCTTCAAAAGGCACGAAATTTAAGTCGGGGTCCCCCCCCAAGCCACGCTGAGGTTTGAGCCTGGCTAGTGCTCGCTATGGGGCATACACCAGCCGTGGTAGTTAACATAAGAGGCACGGCCACAAATAGCCATTGTTGTACTGCACTTCTGTGCGCCCGCGATCGATGTTCCCCGCCGTCACCAACTCGAACCGACCAGCGTACGGGAGGTCAAACGATGGGTCCAAATAACCCTCGCGGCCAGCAAGCGCGGTGTAGGGAACAGACCCTGATCCAGCAGCGGATTGACACACAGGGCTGCCACACACACACACGCGCAGTGCGCAGTGCGTAACAAACCACACAAGCGACACGCGTTCCATCGCAAGCAGCACCCCCAACTCTCTCTCTCTCTGCATTCCCCTCCTCGGAGGATCAAGGGACCTCGCGAGCAGGCAGGGTATGGACGCATGATCTTCGACGCATGCAAGCGAGGATAGGGCGGTGCGCAGGGGGGTTAATCGCGTGGCGGCGGATGCAGTCCCTCCTCCCCACGACTTGCTCTGCGGGTCGGCTTGCAACATAGCAGTCTGTGTGCACCGTTGACCCGTGGGCCCCCTTAAATCCCCTTGTGTCTCAGCCGTGGGCAGTGCTTGGCACGGCGTGGCTCTGGCTGTTGAGTTACACGATGCTTTGTGGTGTTGTCTTACCCCAGGCAGGGGGGTTTACCGGCTGCTTGACTGCTTTTCAGGGGTTTTAAAGCATCATCATCATCGTGAAAGGGACTTATCCGACTGCAGGGGAAACGGGACTGCCGTGCATCAATCCCTGACCCGGTTCGAACCTCACTCGACCGAGCAGAATGACACACTCCACGCCCTATTACTCTATTCGGCAGCTTCTACCACTATAGCCCCCGAACCAATAATACCCTGCTGGATATTCAAACAACGAATATTCTCAACGAGAAGTTATCGTCACTGAAAGAAGCGTCCACACCATCAGCACCAACACAAATCAACATCGCCATGACCACCAGCAGCACCACCAACTCCACGAAAACGCATCACCGGCACAATTAGCACCAGCATGCATCACGTGTTTCACCACCAACACCATCAAGAAGACAACTATCACCACCATAATCGGTAGCACTTGCAGCAGCTTCAACGCCACCAGCACCATCATCACCACCACCAGAATCATCACCACCACCAGAATCATCACCACCGCTATCACCACTATCATCATCAGCACTATCACCACCACCATCATCATCAGCATCAACGTCACTAGCACCATCATCATCACCCCCATCACCACCACCAGAATCATCACCACCGCTATCACCAGCATAATCACCATCAGCACTATCACCACCCCCACGACCATCATCATCATTAGCATCAACGTCACTAGCACCATCATCATCACCCCCATCACCACCACCAGAATCATCACCACCGCTATCACCACCACCATCATCATCATTAGCATCAACGTCACTAGCACCATCATCACCCCCATCACCACCACCACCAGCAGCAGCATCATCATCATCACCATCACCTCCAGCAGGTAACCTCCCTCCCCAAACCCGCACGCCTCGTGCTCTCACCCAGACGCAGGGTGAGGTTTATGGCCTTGGGGTACTGCACCCCGCGCAGCATGGTGGGGCTCTGCCACCAAGTCGTGTCGTCCTGGTTGTTGAAGTCCGTCAGGAACGTGGCGTTGTGGTGGAGGCGCGCGTCGCTCGCGTCGCACACGTGGCACGACTTGGTGACGCCCGTCACCCCGGTCTGCACGCAGTACTCCTCGGCGGGCGATCCGCACGTGTTCGTCGACTCCACCGTCACGTTGAAAGCCGCGTTCACGAACTCGGGCAGGCACCGCTGCGGCCGTCCCTCGTCGTCGTAGCATTCGTCCATGGCCGAGAAGACGCCCTGGCAGAACAGCAGCAGCAGCATCGCCGCCGTCGTCGTCGTCGTCATTGCCATCATAGCCGCCGTGCTCTGCTGCTGATGCTGACCGTGATGATGGTGATGGAGCCGCCACCGTCGGCGGAGCGAGATCGGGAGGCGCGGCGCGGTGCTACGCGTGTGCGCCATGTGGAGTTGCTCTGAGCGAGAAGCGGCTGGTGGTGGTGCTGGCGGTGAATGAGGCGAGGCGAGGATGGGGAGAGAGGAGGGGAGAGGTGTGGGGTTGGGTTGAATGAGACGAGGCGAGATGGGGAGAGGTGCGGGGTGGGTGAGTGTGGAGACGCGGGCGGGCCGAGCAGAGTGCAACGTCTCTCCCCCTCCCTCTAAAATGCTCGATCCTTGTTCCACGCTCCTCACTGCTCCACCTCCTCGCCCCTGCTGTGCTTTGCCTCCTCCTCCCGCCCGCTCGACACCGCTCGGCACCCACCCCCCTCTCTCGGGCTCTCTAGAATCAACGATGTTGTCTGCTGCCTCGCTCACAAGTTGATGATCATTCATGAAGAAGCCCAATTATCATCATGAATCAATAACACAGCTGCTATCTTCAATATAATCATCATCGTCGTCGTCATCATCAGCATTGTCGTGAATTGCATTTACATCATCCTTCAAACACTATCTTAAATAATCATCATTAAAACAACTCTTTTAAATATCATCATCAAAAACAACATTTTGTGAAATATCGTCACAAACAGTAAATTGACATTTACATAATAAACAACGGCTAATGACCAATTAACGTGACACTTTTTTACTGATTGGCCGTATCGGGTGGTGGAGGGTTACGACACATTATAATAACGCGATCTAACCCAAAAACGTGTATTATGAATCATAAGTAATTCCACTTACATCCTCATCAACAACACTTTTACATTTGTACCATCATCACCAATGATCATCAATCATCACCACCCCCACCCTTCCCATTCTCATGCGTGTTCAAATCCTGGCAACCTTCGCTCTAACCCACCCATGACCCATCATCCCTCGCTACACCGCGCATCTTTCGTCAGCTGCCCATGCAGAACCTTTCCACGCAGACTCCTCGCCCTGTCTCCCATACGGCGGGTACCCGGTCAGCTGGCCGGCCGGGCAGCCAGTCAGCCCGCACAGGGGCCACGTGAGCGCCACTCATCTCCTGTGACGTTACACTCGACAGCGATCTCTGCGCGAATGACTCTCTGCTGCTGCTGCTCTAATCCCTGACCCTATTGCGCGCTATTCATTTTGTCCGCGAGAGATGTGAGAAGTCTGCGAACACGCCTATTATCCGCGAAATGTTCTCCCTATTATCCCGCGACAGTTAAACACCGCATTGACATAACGCCTTCACGATCTAACCCACAACATAAACGCACTATACTGTTGCTCGTGAGAGCCGATGCGAATTAAACGCATCGTGTTGTTCGTGAACCCAAATCGTGGCCAATTCATCGAATTGCGACGGGAGGATGGAGCGAATCGTTCATTAGCGGAATGTCCACTCGGGGTTGGCATTGTGCGCCTGTTGATCGCCTCTGCGGAGTGCCCATTGCGCTCCCCCTAAAAGGGTTTCGAAGTTCGCGATGCTGCGCGTTTCTGCATTTCGTCCGTAAGTGGGCGTCGGCAAGGCCCTGCGCCAATGTCTCCTCGCAGCGTGGGAATGCCACCTGTTGGTGGAAGCGACCCCGTACAGAGGAACTTGTGAGATCCACAAGCTGGGGAACACGCGCGCTCACACACATGCACATACACGCACCAGCACCACCACCACCCCACACCCCAGTCGTTTTATTCACGAAGCGCGAGACGAGATGTGGCCGGGTGCGCTGAGCTTGGCAACGCTGGAGCTGGGTTCGAATCCAAGCAGCTGCTTGTGATCAATGAAACCGGATTTTCATGTGTGAGTGTATCGTCTCGGTTCGGTGCCCTAAGTCATAATTTAGAGCATGATTGCACGTGTACTTCACTTTTATTCCTGACGCCCTTTGCTGTCATTATATTTGCACTAAATGGGACCTTTCTGCCAGTATCAAAGTATGAAAAGTAAGAATACGTTTTACCATTTCTGGCAATAAAACAGGTGTTAAGATGTTCAACCACCAAAGGGGCCGTCCATAAATGACGTCACGCACCTCGGGGGGGGGGGGGGGTCAGACATTTGTGACAATGTGTGACGTCACATAAAAATGCGAAACTTTAAATAAATATAGAATTGTTATAACAACACTCCTACAACATCAGAGTGCAGCGCCACATTAAATACGCACTACAATGACAATAGTTTAAAGCGATTTGAATCATGTTGTATTTTCAAAATGGAAATATGGTTTTGGGGGGGGGGGGGGGGCAGAGCTTTCTGACGTCATATTTGAGGAGGGGGTCTGACTTTTTGTCCAAAGTCGCGTGACGTCATTTATGGACGGCCCCAAATAGAAACCTTTTGCAAGGAATCAAGAACTGCATTAACCACACGTACTTGTGGTGAACATACAAACAAACATGCCCTCACATTATGTGCATTGACACTGGTGAGACTGGGCCAATCAGTTTCAAAGACAAGGCAGATATTGCCAGAACATGTTTGTTTGCATGTTCACCATAAGTACGTATGCTTAATGCAGACTTGATTCCTTGCAAAGGGTTTCTATTTGGTGTTTGAACATTTTTAACTCCTGTTTTATTGCCGGAAAGGGTAAACCCTATTCTTATTTTTTTCATATATTTGCAATGTTTGTGTTGTGATAATTGGTTCTTTTGGCGTCATCTGGTCCAACCCATATGAGACTAGGCTCGAAGGAAGGCTGTCTCGGGTGTGGACCAATCAACTTCAAGGACAGTGCACATTATCAGAGTTATGTTCTTTTGTTTGTATTATGACTGCAGGTATTGCGGTCTATGCAAACATGACTCCTTGCAAAAAGGTGTCAGTTTTGTTGCCAGATAGAAGGGTAAAGAACCAATTATCATATTTTTACTGGCAAATGAGGTCCCCATAATGTTTGTGTTGTATTCACGCGTGTTTCGTTCGCGGACGTCAAACACCTCGTTTGTTGTGCAATATTACCTAAGGACCCCCTCTCTCTACTCGCTGTCTGCAATGATGTTGATGTTATTTTTAAATCCTTTATATTAAGTTCACTTGCTTGCTTGCTTGCGCGCTTACAACCGTGCAAATATTTCGGTCGTTTTTTAACCCACTTCCCGTGATCCAATCGAGCTGACATTTTGCACACAGACTCGTTGTGCGTGACAATTTATTTTCGTGAAAAAAAATTCCAACATTTTCCACTTTTTAGGGGGAAAAATGTCATATTTAATTTAAAATACCAATGTGATTAAATGGAACTCTTACTCAAGAAAAACAGAAATGAATAATAAAATAAAACCGATGCCACGCATATAAAGGATTTATAGTGAAAAACTTTGTTTTTACGGGTTAATTTTTTTTCTCTTTCTTTGTTTTGTTGTCGCTGCTATCCTCACGCAGCCTACCACGGATTTCCCTTGTAAAATAGCCGGGAAGCTGGCTAAACGGGATCACCCCGTGTGACTAACAAACAAACAAAAAAACCCCATCACATTCAATTTGCTTCAGTACCCATCCAAGTACTGTCCAGGCTCAAAATTTGCCAAGCTTCCACAATCCGACGAGGTTGGACGGTATTTTGGTTGATTTGATCCATAGGTGGACAGTTATGGATAGACGCCCTTCCCAATAACTGACGGTAACACAGGTGGCATGTATTTAACAAGCTTGCCCCTCCCTGCTGATGGGACCCAGAAGATGGACACCGCTGCAGAGTTTGCTTGCTTAAACAAAGACTGCGGAATAATATTAGTCTGGAAAGTCAATAGGCAGTTGGACGAAAACACGTGTTTCATTTGGACGTGGAGACAAGCCAGAGAATCATGCTTACATTGCATTTATCTAGTTATGTATACAGCTCATATGCCAATCCGACATTTCAGTCGGCAGTCTGCATATGCGCCTGTAAATAGGAACATTCCAGAGGACGCCGGCCAGCGGAGATGGAGCAAGACCGTGAGTGATGGTGGCGGCTTAATTGGTGAGGGCTTCATCCAGCAGTGGATTGACCGTGGCTAATGATTATGAAGAGAGAGGTCTAGCGATTGTCTCTTCCCCCACCTCCCCCCCCCCGGGGAAATTAGATGAATTGGCATCACGATCTTGGATCGCTAATCGATTCAGGAACCAGTCCCTGCTTGTCTCGTTCTACCGCCTCGGTTATGCGTATTCATTCGCAGTTAAAGTTTAAATCTCGCGTGCGCAGTTTGACCAATACAATAACACATTCCTGCGGAGGGAGCTGGTAGGAACGTTGGGTTGCTCGGTCAATGGCCAGGGTCAACGGCGGCGTGGTGTATTCCGCAAATATGCCCGACTGTGAGGGCGTGCACAAGCCGGCGTGAGTAGGTGAAACGTTGAGTTTTATAAGGGCACCACAGGGTGACCAGCCCCTCCCCACTCAGCCCCTCCCCACTCAGCCCCACCCCACCTAGCCCACCCCTCCCACCCCCACCCAGCCCCACTCTCCCCACCCAGCCCCTCCCCACCCTCCCCTCGCCACCCAGCCCCTCCCTACCCTCCCCTCCCCACCCAGACCCTCCCTGCACGACGGACACAATAATCCCCTGTGGGCTGGTGTAACCAGGAGGTTCCTACCAGTATAACAATGGCCTTTTTGTAAAATCGATCACTTGCGCACGGGAGGAAGACCTTCCTCTACGCCACCGTGGATCGTGAGAATCGTGGGTGTTGTTGTGTGATTGTGCGTGACGCTGGCGAGTGTGGGCTGGCGGTGGCCGGGCGGTGTTGGTGGCCACGTGGTTAGCAGCGGCCGGGAATCGAACTCTGGTATTTGGGTTCACAGTGTTCGTGCTCGAACCACTGTGCACCACCCCTCCTCCTCTCCCCCCATGTACACATTTATCGCGAATGATCAAGTATACGGGAGCTGTTTTTTTTCGTGGATGAAGCATTGCCTTAAGTGTTTAACGCAATTCCAGTTCGGATGAACGAGCAGTATTGTTTTGTTGATTTTATTGCAAGTGTAGATGTTTGCTCAATAGTATTTGCAAAGAGTACAACATTCTAAATGATGACGAACCCTCGTTTGAGCCATTCTTGATGAGCAGCAGTCTTAACGAAAGCGACGCATCCTAGCTCGGCACACGGGAATGGCGCAAGTGGCCGGCGTGCTGAATGTTGTTTTAGTATTTTTCCAGGTGGTGTATAATTAGTCATCATTTCCGTTTGTATCTCCCTCGGGAGTTATTTACAACCGTGCTAACTACTGGCAATCATCGCACGAGACGAAATGTCCGTTTGTAACTCTCGCAGTGAGAACGGCCTACATGGTAGCTGACTTTACGGAATTAATTCTGAGACTCTATTAAAGGACCACGTGTCCACATGATGGTGTGCGTCGCAGTAACAACGGTTTGTTTTTGATGTGCAATTCTCAGAGGTCAATGTGTTGTATTTATGTTGATGATAAGTGACATGTTAATGACAAAGTCGGTTGTTTTGTTCATGTGTACCACTGCTAATGTGATTCGTTATGAGTTATTGTATTCACTTTTAAACATTGCTCAAGGATTTTCAACTATGGGCGTTGATGATGTCAGCTGATCCCCCCCCCCTTGCCCCATCTCTGATCATGGGATGGCTGAGTTCCATTGAATCGCATACAACACATTTTGCAAAGAGCCTCTGTAGCCTCTCCCGACAGTTACGAATAAAGACACTGAACAGCTGGCCATTATGAAGATAAACTTGTTCATGGGAAAGTCAAACAATGATCTCCTCTTGCGAACAATATCATGGGCTGTGAAGCGACCAGGGGGGGGGGAGGGGGAGGCAACCTTTCAGCACTTGTGTGCGATAGTAAATGTTTGACATTGAGCGTTTCATATCGTGTAAAGCATCAAGCCACAAGTGTCCTCACGGCGCACGCATGACTTGAGGATGGGCAATGCTCATGGTCGTTTTTTTTCAATTCCCTGGTACAATAAATGCCGTTCGAGTCTGCTCGGGGCGGGTGTTGTGGGCACGTCATCGTTTTAATGGAACAAAAGGTCATCGCTGTGACTGGGCCTTGTGTGTTTTTTTGTTCGTTGTTGGGCTCAGCTGCAAACATCTTTATCCCAACTGTGCCCACTATAAAAGAGAACAACAGAAAGGCCTGGGGCTCACAGGTTGCGTGTCATTGTGAAAGCTTAGAGAGCTGGGCAGAGAGAGAGAGAGAGCGATTACAGCGATGTGACGTGGGAACACGGAGGGAGAAAGGAGGCCAAGGGACTCGATCTCCCACCAAGGCACCTCCGATTAGCATGGTTGGTGCGACGTACGGCACGAAAGAAGTTCAACATACACATGCAAAAGTGTTCGATGACCCCCTTGGCTACTCTACTTGCCCACCTCCCCCCACTTTAAAAAATCAACAACCATGGTCTTTTTACTGCTGGTTGAACCCCCCCCCAACTATCCCCCTCAAACTATCCCCCCCCCCCAAACCATCACCCCCCCTTCAAACCACCCCCCCCCAAACCATCCCCCCTCCCCATCCACTCTCTAGCCACAGTCACCGTTCCTCGTGGTCTCTCGCAATGCGCTGGAGGGAATATTGCTTTGAGTGGCAGATGCTGAGCGCAGACCACAAAAGGTCAAAACGATGCCCGGCAACGCGAAGCGTTCCTCCGCTCCTGTCTGCCCTCAAACGTTTTCATTCACGGCGAACTTGAGACGTTTCGCGAAAGGTGCCTTGATAAGTGCCAAGTTATCGCGATGGTGACGATTAAGCAGCCAGCAGCGAGCTTCAATAAGAGTACAATGTACGAACTAATGGCTATAGGGAGGGGGGGAAAAATTAACCCGTAAAAACAAAGTTTTTCACTATAAATCCTTTATATGCGTGGCATCGGTTTTATTTTATTATTCATTTTTGTTTTTCTTGAGTAAGAGTTTCATTTTTATCACATTGGTATTTTAAATTAAATATGACATTTTTTTTCCCTAAAAAGTGGAAAATTTTGGAAATTTGTTTTTACGAAAATAAATTGTCACGCACAACGAGTCTGTGTGCAAAATGTCAGCTCGATTTGATCACGGGAAGTGGGTTAAAAAACGACCGAAAGATTTGCACGGTCGTAAGCGCGCAAGCAAGCAAGTGAACTTAATATAAAGGATTTAAAAATGAGACGGTGGGAAGGGAGTTTAAAAGATGAGCAGTGCCAGCAAAGGATGAAAGAGAGACGCTGCGCCCTGTAGCGGGGTGGTCGAACACTGCACGAGTGTGAGAGGATACAATCTGGTAGAACGAGTCCTTGACATCGGTGGAGCAACCGTGGCATGACGTTCATCGCAACAATGGCCCGGTGGGTAGTAACAGCGATGCACCCGTGACAATGATCTCCGTTTGTATGCCCGTTTGAGATGCAATGGACCGAGTTTGTAATCGCGTGTTTTGAGTTTGTGAAGAAATTTTAGGGTGGCATCTGGGGTCACCAGATGGATCCCATTTTGCACCTCCTTGCAAAAGGCCTGTTGTTGGACGATGATCGATTTATGTGAGTGATGCATTGCCGCGTTGCACTGCAGTCACAGTTCGGGCATGTGCTCAGTATCCCCACTTTGTGCAGGAAGTGGCCGCAGGTCTTTCCCCGTGTGTGTGTGTACGTCTAACGTGGGCAAGCGCCGTCCCAGTGTTTTTCTGGGCAAGGAGATTCTTCGGTGAGCGACTTGTTAGGGACATCGCAGTTTGCACCACATTTCTCACCACCGGTTATCGGTGCCTCGCCGGCTTATTGACGGTGAGAGAGAGAAAGAGGTGGTCTGGAGCAAATCGGCGAGTGAGGGTTCATCAATCAACCCAACTGCTTAACGTTGAACTTTTATTAAGCAGAGTTGGGAGCCGCAACCGCTAACAGATCTGTCTACGCATCAGCCGCACTTGCTGTACCTCCTGCGCATCCGATTACCACGGTTGACTACGGTTGGGCAAGAAAGAAATTCTACATACATCGTGCTCAGTACGGCATGTAGCAACTTTTTAGAATTGAGAATTTTGCATGGCAAATAAAAGCCAAGCCGCTTCGGCTGGAAGTCCCGAGGCACAAGGAGTGGATTTAGGGGAGAGGGAGGAGGGTGGCATGAGTTAAGACTGTAGCTGTATCAGCCAGTGCTGCTGCGTAGGGTTGGAGGTGGTGAGTGGGTGAGTGAGTGAGTGTGTGGGTAGGGTGAGTGGGTGTTTGGGTAGTGTAAGTGAGTGAGTGAGTGTGTGGGTACGGTGAGTGAATGGGTGAGTGGGTAGGTGAGTGGGTGTATGTGTGGGTAGGGTGAGTGAATGGGTAGGGTGAGTGAATGGGTGAGTGGGTAAGTGAGTGAGTGGGTGTATGGGTAGGGTGAGTGAATGGATAGGGTGAGTGAATGGGTGAGTGGGTAAGTGAGTGAGTGGGTGAGTGAGTGGATGTGTGGGTAGGGTAAGTGGGTATGTGGGTAGGGTGAGTGAATGGGTGAGTGGGTAAGTGAGTGGGTAAGTGAGTGAGTGGGTGTGTGGGTAGGGTGAGTGGGTGTGTGGGTAGTGTAAGTGAGTGAGTGGGTGTGTGGGTAGGGTGAGTGGGTGTGTGGGTAGTGTAAGTGAGTGAGTGGGTGTGTGGGTAGGGTGAGTGAATGGGTGAGTGGGTAGGTGAGTGAGTGGGTTAGTGGGTAGGGTAAGTGGGTGAGTGAGTGGGTGAGTGAAGTGAGTGGCTAAGTGAGTCAGTGGGTGAGCGGGTGAGTGAGTGAACTGGTGAGTGAGTGGGTGTGTGGATAGGGTAAGTGGGTGAGTGAGTGGGTGTGTGGGTAGGGTAAGTGGGTGAGTGGGTAAGTGAGTGAGTGAGTGGGTGGATGAGTGGGTAAGTGAGTGAGTGGGTGGATGAGTGGGTGAGTGAGTGAGTGGGTATGTGAAGTGAGTGTGTGGGTCGGGGAAGTGGGCGAAAGGCAGATCACGCTCGTGTGAAATGAACAAGTACACCAGACCTGGGGACCTTGACAAATGGCAGGCACACGGGGGGGGGGGCTGTGAAGGATACATTTAGAGCGATGAAATCATGGCACATGTACAAATGATAAACTTTGCAGCTGCCCTTTTCTGAGTCCAATGGCATAGGAAGGTCTGCACATATTCGGATATTTACGGGACCCCCATACGCATAATGCAGAATATCGGAGCACACGTGCAAATTAGAGACATCGCATTGATTGCCGAGAAAAGTAAATGGGCTTGGGCGGGGGGGGGGGGTGATGGCTGATGGTCGCAGTTGGTGTCGGAATGGAGGCAAAGGGAGGGAACGTGCTCAAGAAAAGGTCCCCCGCCGTGGAGATGGAGCGGTGAAGTGGGCTGACGTGCCGGAGCCAAGTGGATTGTGATATCGCTGGACCATGAGAGATGGAAATGAATTTCGATTTAAAGCTTTCGTGACTGCAGGGATTCATCTTCTTGGTTCTTTCGGTAAAGTCACGTAGAAGGGAAATAATAAAATAATAAAAATAAAACATAATAAAATAATTCTCACGACGGGATGAAGACAGCGTCTGACGCTGTCTTCCCGACAGACCTGTTCTTCACCTGAGGACGGCTGCTTGCGTTGTGGCCGATACGTCGTGAGAATTATTTTAGTATGTTTGATTTTTATTATTTTATTATTTCCCTTCTACGTGACTTTACCGAAAGAACCAAGAAGATGGAAATTACTTGGGGAAAACGTCGTCGTTTTTTTGTAATTTTCTTTGAGCCTATCTACGTGATTTTACCGAAAGACCCAAAGAATAGGACTTGGGAAGTCTTTTTATCTCAAAAGTGTCGAGAACGTGAC